ATTAAGAACGAGAATGATAAGTCAAGTTAGAACGCCGCAAGAATAATCTTGATAAGTTCTATAAAGTTCTGAAATGAACCAAAGAGAAAAGTCTCTAAAAAACTCAGATTCAATAGCTACCCCAATTAGGGTTACAAGCCCTTTAAATAGGGAAAAGTAATTCTATTTAGAATAGGAAACTAACGCCCTAAGCCCTAATCCTAATAACCATGAATTTGGGCCTCAAATAAATTAATGTTCAGCCCAAAATAATATAAAAAACGTGAAAATCACTGAAAGTAACCTAAAGTAACATAAAATATCAATTTGTTACAAATTGCGATAGAATTGTGGGATTTTGACACAAACTGTGTAATTTAGCATAAATGACCTCAACTAAGCTTCTCTTGAACCTGAATGATGTTTACCATGCTTTGATAATCATCTAAACTTCAAATTACTTGTTGCATGTTGTTATCAACCCAGATCTGCTCAATAAGGCCATTTAAAGCTCTTCGCATCTTCCTAGCTCTAGCTCTCATGACTGGACCTCCTGGAATTTGTAATAATGGATCTCTTGACGTGGTACATGTGGGGTCATCTTTATTCTCATCATTCCCTCTCTCCTCAAAAGGATTTGTCCTCAAATCGTCACCTACATCAAAAGGAGAAAGATCAGAAAGATTAAAAGTAGCAGTAACATTATACTCACCAGGAAGCTCCAACTTGTATGCATTGTCGTTTATCCTTGCAATCACTTAAATGGTCCATTACCTCTTGGTTGCAACTTAGAACACCTTTGTGAAGGGAATCGCTCCTCCGGCATATGCACCCAAACCCAATCTCTAGGTTCAAACACAACTTTCTTGCGCCCTTTGTTGTCTTGATTTGCATATTGCTCAGTTCATCGCTCTATGTTTTGTCGCACCCTCTCATGTAGTTGCTTAACCACTTCAGCTTTCTTTTTCCCATCCAAACTAGCTCGTTCATCAATGGGTAATGGCAATAAATCCAAAGGGGTGAGTGGGTTAAAAACCATACACAACTTCAAATCAAGGTTTTGAAAATCGGACCGGACCAGACGGTCGGACCGGTTGAACCGATACCTGGTAATCTAAACGGTTCGGTTACATCTTTTGAACCGTTTAAACGGTTAAACCGTTTGAAACCGTTTGAACCGATGAACCATTTGAAACCGCTCAAACCGTTCAACCGGACGGTTCAATGTTTGGGCATAAAATCTTGAGATTTGTGTCCACGGGATTTGAACTTGCAACCTTAGAGTCTTTGGGTTGACCCTTTGCCACCAAAACAATGCAATTGTTTAGTCAATGAGTGGTTGGACTTTTATTTAACCCATATAAATCCCAAAGATTTTAACCTTATTACTGATTACAAGCTTGAGGTTCGAACACTTGGTTTCCATGTTGTAGAACAACAGTTTTTCCAATTGTACACAATGTTCTTTTGTCATTTTAATGCTTTACAATATACTTATTCTACTTTGATGCACAATTATATTAAAATTTGTTATTGGGGGGACTTGAACTCCGAATCTCCCTTATAGAAGGTCAGCCATCTACCAGTGCAACCCACCAACACCGTGTGATATCTTTTGCAAAATCATATATTTATAGTATTTCATTAAGCCGGCGGTTTTACCAGTTAAACCGATTGAACCGTTCAAACCGCGAACCGGAGGTCAAAACGGTTTGACCTCCGGTTCGAGTTTGAAAACATTGCTTCAAATGGTGAACAGTTAGTTGCTGAATGGACGCTCTGATTATAAGCAAAGCAAATTAAACATGCAGCAAACATTCTTCCCAATTATTCAAGTTTTTTTGAATAATAGAACGCAGTAAGGCTGACAATGTCCTATTAACCACTTCTATTTGTCCATTAGTTTTGGATGACAAGTAGTCAAAAACAATAGCTAAGTTCCCAACTTTCCCCACAAGGTCTTCCAAAAGTAACTCAAGAACTTAACATCGCGATCAGAAACTATCCATGGAACACCATGTAAACGAAACAACCTCCTTGAAGAACAGATCAGCAATATTGGTTGCATCATCAGTTTTATGACATAGAATGAAGTGTGCCATCTTTGAGAACCTGTCAACAACAACAAAAATAGAATCGCGGCTTCTTTTTGGCCTTAGTAAGCCCAGAACAAAATCCATAGATATATCATCAACCCAAGGTTCAGTAGGTATGGGTAAGGGAGTATACAACCATGTGGTAAAACTCTAGATTTTGCTTGTTTACATGTTACGCACCTTTCACACATCCTTTCAACATCATGTTTCATATGTGGCCAAAAACAGTGATCGTTTATAATATAAGTTTTCCTAACTCCAAAATGTCCCATTAAGCCACCCGCATGTGATTCCCTTATTAACAATTCTCTTAATGAATCGTTAGGCACACATAACCGATTTTCTCTAAATAAGAACCAATCATGCCTATAGAACTTTTCAGAAGCTGCCTTCCCACACGCATTAAACATGTTAGGTTAAATCCCCATTTTGGTCCCTGAACTATTGTACGGACCCCTGATTTTGGTCCCTGAACTATTGTACGGACCCCTGATTTGGTCCTTGAACTAAAGAAATCCCTGATTTGGTCCCTAAACTATTGTACGGACCCCCGATTTGGTCCCCACTGTTTATAATTTGGCCTAAGTTGGTCCTTGAACTATTGTACGGGCCCCCAATTTGGTCCTTACTGTTTACAATTTCACCCCAATTTGGTCCCTAAGCTATTATTTAATGGAAGGACCAAGTTGCGGCTAAATTGGTAAACAGTAGGGACCAAATTGGGGATCCGTATAATAGTTTAGGGACTAACTCCAAAGAGAACCCCAAAGAGAACAATGAGACCCACAACACAACAAGGGATTTCTAAACTCCAGGAAAGCTAAATCAGGTTTATGATAGGACCTTGACCCATTGTTTATGTCGTAACAAGAACCAAAGGTAAAAACCTTGACCCGTTGTCTATGACGCAACAAGAACCAGAGGTATAAAGTTGGTTGACGCCACACCCTCGAACGATTAAGAACGAGGATGATAAGTCAGGTTACAACGCCACAAGAATAATCTTGATAAGTTCTGTAAAGTTCTGAAACGAACCAAAGAGAAAAGTCTCTCAAAAACTCAGATTCAATCCCTCTCTCCCCATTAGGGTTACAAGCCTTTTAAATAGAGAAAACAAATCCTAATCAGAATAGGAAATTAACACCCTAAGTCCTAAACCTAATAACCACGAATTGGGCTTCTAATAAGCGAATGTTCAGCCCAAAAATAATACAAAAAACGTGAAAATCACTAAAAATAACCTAAAATAACACAAAATATCAGTTTGCTACAAATTGCGGTAGAACTGTGCGATTTTGACGCAAACTGTGTAATTCCGTGCAAATGACCTCAACTAAGCTTCTCTTGAACCTGAATGATGTTTACCATGCCTTGATAATCATCCAAGCTTCAATTTGCTTGTTGTATGTTGTTTTCAACCCAGATCTGCTCAATAAGGCCATTTAAAACTTCACGCATCTTCTCAGCTCTAACTCGCGTGACTGGACCTCCTTGGGTGTGTAATAGATCACATGACATAGTAGATATGCTGTCATCTTGATTCCCATCAGACACTGAAATTTTTTTTTTTTGTTTTTGAAGATAAAAACTGAAAACTAAAGATACACAAACCTGATTTAGGGATCTGATGCTCTGATACCAAGATGATGAGAACCCCGAAGAGAACAATGAGACCCACAGCACAACAAGGGATTTCTAAACTCCAGGAAAGCTAAATCAGATTTATAATAGGATCTTGACCCGTTGTTTATGTCGCAACAAGAACCAAAGGTAAAAACCTTGACCCATTGTCTATGACGCAATAAGAACCAGAGGCATAAAGTTGGTTGATGCCACACCCTCAAACGATTAAGAACAAGAATGATAAGTCAGGTTGAACGCCATTGATAAGTTCTGTAAAGTTTTGAAACGAACCAAAGAGAAAAGTCTCTCAAAATCTCAGATTCAATAGCCTCCTCCCCATTAGGGTTAAAGCCTTTTTTTAATAGAGAAAACAAATCCTAATCAGAATAGGACATTAACACCCTAAGTCCTAAACCTAATAACCACGAATTAGGCTTCAAATAAGCTAATGTTCAGCCCAAAAATAATACAAAAAACGTGAAAATCACTAAAAAAATAACCTAAAATAACACGAAATATCAGTTTGCTACAAATTGCGGCAGAATTGTGCGATTTTGATGCAAACTGTGTAATTCCGTGCAAATGACCTCAACTAAGCTTCTCTTGAACCTGAATGATGTTTACCAGGCCTTGATAATCATCCAAGGTTCGATTTGCTTGTTGTATGTTGTTTCAACCCAGATCTGCTCAATAAGGCCATTTAAAGCTTCACGCATCCTCTTAGCTTTAACTCGCGTGACTGGACCTCCTTGGGTGTGTAATGGATCACATGACGTAGCAGATATGCTGTCGTCTTGATTCCCATCAGGTCAAGGTTTTTATCTTTGGTTCTTGTTACGACATAAACAACGGGTCAAGGTCCTATTATAAACCTGATTTAGCTTTCCTGGAGTTTAGATATCCCTTGTCGTGCTGTGGGTCTCATTGTTCTCTTTGGGGTTCTCATCATCTTGCATGGTTTTTGTCTCCAAGTATGGTCATGATTTTTGAAGATCGCTAGTGGGAACTGTAACACTGGCACATGTCGATATGTATTCTTGAAAATCTATTTGTCCTAATTTATTCCTATTAACCTACCAGTAGGATGGTACACTAGTTATTCCTGACGCCAACTTGTGGAAGTTTATTAAACACTAGCTATGACTAATTGAGGAGATCAATGATGAATTTTACTATGTATTAAATGTTTATATCTGAGATTATTTTCTTCAGTTTAAAATTTAATTATTTACCTGGCATGCTTTAAATTTAAATAAGGGTTACCCATAATTTTACTTACTGAGTTATCTCACATGGTTTTTCCTCATCCACCATTTTAGGTAGTGAGACCAGAGACGCAAGAAACCAAGGGAAGTGACGAGCTAGAAAGCCAGCCACTTATACTTGGACTTAGATTATTTTGGAGTTAGGCCACTAGGCAAATTATTTTTGGACATAGATGTTGGAATATAAATCATTCTTTTCTAGACTAGTTTCCCTTGTAGATAGTCATGCTTATACTGATTGAGTTGTATAGTTTTGGGCACTCTTGGTCTAGTCAAACTTTGGTTATTAAAAGCTAGATTGTACTTTGAGATTTTGGATCTTAGTTTAGTGGATTGTTAGTTATGAATTATACATGATGAGTTGAGCAAAATTTGAGCGCATTTATGGGAGTCTCTCACAATTGCACAGCATCTATTCCACTCCTGGTTTTAGGGCATGACAGACTTTGTGGTATTAGAGCCTAGGTTTGACTAAATACCTAAGACTAGTTTAGAACTTAGTTGGCAAATGAACAATAGGAATGTGGTGAGACATAAGAGTGGGGTTAATCAAAGACGCTTGTTACATTCTTGCTTTGATGAACTTTTGGCTTGTGAAAATTTTCTTTACTCTAGATCATGATATTCCTCATATTGGTTTATGACTTGTTTATGACTTGTTTATGACTTATATATATATATATATATAAGTTATTGTTATTATTGAGACTTGTTTATGACTTATGGATGGTGTGGTCTTTAAGCTCTACTCAGTGTTATGATGAGTTAAAATATTGTTCCTGAATATTGGTTTGAAAGTTTCAGTCTCTTCATTGTGTATTGGATTTGTTGATGATTGTGTTACTTAGTTTCAGAAATGGGGGATTTCCTTGTTTTTTCTTGTTCAGGATACGTGATTAGTTGTCTATAAACCTTCTATATGTTTATAGATGGCTCCAAAACACAGTAAAGGCACAAAGGGTGGCCGTGAGGACGATAGTGCTCCTCCAATTTTGGCTACAAATCCTTTTGCCCAAGCTAGTCCTCAGGAGGGAAGGGTGAATAACCCTCAGATGGCCACGTTTGTTTAGGAATTTATCATGGAGATAAGACTCCGAGCATCTTCTGCTACTAGCGTGCCACATCCATCCCCCATAGTTTCCACTCTTACGGCTCCTGCTCTTATTCCTTCTACTCTTGTTGTACCTAGCTGAAAGATCTATACAAAATTCTAGAAAGTGGTAACTAAGCGATTTGATGTACGATAAGTTTTGAGTAGGTTGGGTCATGGATTATCGAAGTGGAGAGAGGAGCCTATTGAAGATTTTCGATGACCTTAAGGTCGATGTGGGTAGTTACATGCTTATAGATGAATCATTAATTTGGTGGGAAAATTACTTAAGGCTACACCATGGTGAACCTGAATTGAGCACCTAGGTTTTTTAAGAAGGTGTTCATGCGGGAATACATACTTGATAGTAAAAGGTGTGAACTGCAAAGGGAATTTGTTGATTTAAAGCAAGGATCATGTACTTTTGAGTAGTACATGAGGGAGTTTGATCATTACCTGCCATTTGTGGGTAGTCAAGTTAGTGATGAGCAAGCCAACGCTGATAAATTCTTATGGTGCTTGAATCCTGATATTTATTTGGCAATGAACAAATTCAAACCCACCACTTACAAAGAAGCCACGAACAGAGCCATAGACTAGGATAAGGCTATGGCCGGAGTCAAGTTATCAAAGCAGCACAGTGTTAGGTCATCCTTTAAAAAGAGAAAATCTGATAAGAGCCACAGACCCTTTGCCCCTGTACCACATAAGTCTAAAACCGATAAGACTTCTAAAGAGCTAGGAGCTACTAAGACTATGAGCCAGGCATTTGCAGCCCAACATGTTCGTCCTATTCAGCCTACTTGCCACACTTGTGGGAAAGTTGGGCACACTTGTGACTAATGCTGCACTGCTATCGGGGCTTGGTTTGTGGCAAGCATGGACATCATATCGCAAATTGCTCGCAGTCGAACCCTAGAGTTTAGAGTACTCAAACTACATCTCAACAAGGTTCTACAAATCATGGGGTGTAGAAGCAAAATGTTGAGGTTAGGACAAGAGCCAAGCAGGCGAGAGAGTTCACGTGATAACTCATAAGGAAGCCGCGACTACAAACGTAATCACAGGTACTTTGCCTATCAATTCTGATTATGCATATGTTTTATTTGATTCAGGTGCATCACATTCTTTTATTGCCCGATCCTATTCTTGGAAACAAGCTTGACATCTCTAATTTTGAATTGCATGTGGACACCCCTTTAGGAGGGATGATGACTACAAAAGATGTGTGTAAAGTTGTAAATATTTATATTGATAGTAGACAGCTGAGTACCGACCTATTTATTTTGGATATTTCTGACTACCATCTTGAGGATGAATTGGTTGTCAAAATATTTTGCCTCCATAGACTACCATCGGAAATGGGTAGTTGTCAATATTCTTGGTGAGACCAAATTTAGTTTTCAAGGCAATGGTTCTCTTTCTCCACCTATGTTAATATCCGCCTTGCAAGCCCAAAAATATCTTATAAATGGGTGCTAGGGTCTTCTAGTTTCTATTATTGATGCTAGTAGTCTGATGCTAAGACTAGAAGATATACTTGTGGTGTGTGAGTTTCCTAATGTATTCTTAGAGGATCTTCTAGGTTTACCTCGGATAGGGAGATCGAATTTGCTATTGATCTTGTTCCTGGCACCAATTTATTTCCAAAACCCCATACCGTATGGCTCCTGTAGAATTGAAGAAGTTAAAGGCCCAACTTGAGGAACTCCTTGAAAATGGGTTTATATGACTTAATGTGTCACTTTGGGAAGCTCAAATGTTGTGAGACCGTGCATTAATTACTAAGAGCTAAATAAGGTAACTATAAAAAATCGATATCCACTTCTTAGAATCGATGACCTGTTTGATCAGCTCAAGGGTGCTCAAGTATTTTCTAAGATTGATCTTTAATCTGGTTACCACCAGTTGAAGATTAAGCCTGATGATGTGCCAAGGACTACCTTTTGTACCCGTTATAGCCACTATGAATTTTTGGTTATGCCTTTTGGTTTAACAAATGCCCTTACAGGATTTTTGGGTTTAATTAATCAAGTATTTAGCAAGTACTTAGACAAGTTTGTGGTTGTCTTCATTGATGACATTTTAATCTATTCTTCTAGCCATGCTCTTCATGAGGAGCACTAAAGGACAGTTCTCGAGACATTGAGAAGAAAGAGACTGTTTGCTAAATTTAAGAAGTGTGAATTTTGACTAGATGGTGTTGCATTCCTAAGGATGGAATTCCCATTGACTCGAAAAAGATTGAGGCCATATTTGATTGGAAAAGGCCAAATAGTGTTGCAGAAATCTACGGTTTTCTAAGATTGGCTAGTTACTACCGTCGATTTGTGAAAGATTTTTCTAGAATTGTTTAACCAATGACTCATTTTATTAGAAAGGACACAAAATTTGAGTGGACTCCGGAGTGTGAAAAGAGCTTTCTGACCCTTAAGGAGAAGTTGGTCACCGCTCCTATACTCACACCTCCCATCAATGCAAAAGGTTGCACCATATATATTCTAAAAAGGGTCTGGGATGTGTCTTGACACAAAAAGATAAGGTTATTACATATGCTTTACCGTGGTTAAAGCCTTATGAGGAAACTCACCCTACCCATAATTTGGAGTTGGCAGCTGTGGTATTTGCACTAAAGATCTAGATGCATTATCTATACGGTGAGACTTGTGAAATTTTGATTGATCACAATAGCCTTGTACATTTTCACTCAAAAGGAGCTTAACATGAGACAAAGGTGATGGCTTGAACTTCTAAAGAATTATGACTTCACCATTAGTTACTGATGGGAATCAAGACGACAGCATATCTACTACGTCATGTGATCCATTACACACCCAAGGAGTTCCAGTCACGCGAGCTAGAGCTAAGAAGATGCATGAAGCTTTAAATGGCCTTATTGAACAGATCTGGGTTGAAAACAACATACAACAAGCAAATCGAAGCTTGGATGATTATCAAGGCATGATAAACATCATTCAGGTTCAAGAGAAGCTTAATTGAAGTCATTTATGGTAAATTACCCAGTTTGCGTCAATCTCGCAATTTTGTCGCAATTTGTAACAAACTGATATTTCATGTTACTTTAGGCTAATTTTAGTGATTTTCACGTTTTTTATATTATTTTGGGCTGAACATTCATTTATTTAAGGCCCAATTCGTAGGGCTTAGGGTGTTAGTTTCCTATTCTGATTAGAATTACTTTTCCCTATTTAAAGGGGCTTGTAACCCTAATTGGGGAGGCTATTGAATCTGAGATTTTGGAGACTTTTCTCTTTGGTTCATTTCAGAACTTTACAGAACTTATCAAGATTATTCTTGCGGCGTTCTAACCTGACTTATCATTCTTGTTCTTAATCATTCAAGGGTGTGGCGTCAACCAACTTTATACCTCTGGTTCTTGTTGCATCATAGACAACGGGTCAAGGTTTTTACCTTTGGTTCTTGTTGCGACATAAACAACTGGTCAAGGTCCTATTATAAACCTGATTTAGCTTTCCTGGAGTTTAGAAATCCCTTGTCGTGTTGTGGGTCTCATTGTTCTCTTTGGGGTTCTCATCATCTTGGTATCAGAGCATCAGATCCCTAAATCAGGTTTGTGTATCTTTAGTTTTCAGTTTAAATCAGATCCCTAAGTTAGATGGGACTCACTTTTTACTATGATTTAAAGTTTAATTGGTTAAAAAATTAATTTTAATAATTAGAAGTTTATATTTTATAATACTAATTTAGTGGAAAACAATTTAAAAATAATTTTTTAATACTACTTTTTTATACAACCTTACATATCATTTAAATGATTGACTCTTTTATTTATTTAGAACTTATAACATTAAATGCATCCACTCACTTAATAACATATAAAAGTTATATAAAAAAATGATATAAAAAATTCTTTTTATATTACTACACTAATTTGGTTAACCATGTGGCACCTATGTGGCAGCTAATTTGGGACCACATGGGTGCCAATTTGAATTTCCGTTAGTTTTATAGACGGAGCATTAACAGACTAGACGAATATGATATCATTTTGAATGTTAATTGACTAATTAGAGACAAAATATAATTAAAAAACAAAATAAATAAAAAGACAATAGTTAATAGAGTATTTGATAAATTTAGGAGTTAAGGCTTACAACACCTAGAAAGCCAATTCCAATTGTAAACAACACAACCCTCGAATTTCCATCACCGTTCAAATCTAATTCAACAAAATCTCAAATCATCACTCAATCGAATCCTTTTCTTCAATCCTTTTCACAACTGATCCAGATTTGATTCTTAACCTTACTCTTGCATTCAATTTAGAGTCTCACTTGTGGTCCTTTTACAGTAAGCAGGTTCTCATCGAGGCCATGGGTAACCATCGTATTGAGAGAAGTAGCTAGCCATGACAGCCATTAAGTCCAATAAAAGAAACCAGATCTATAAAACCTAAAATAGCAAGGGAAGAGGGAAGAGAAACCGAGGCAAAAGTGAAAGAGAAAGGGGAGGGATTAGGGGAGAGTGAAGGAGGAAGGGGAGGGATTGAAGGGAGGAGATGGGACTGAGGGAGACAAAGTTGGGGAAGGAGAAAGGGAGGGGGAGGGGAAGAACCCTTCCTATTCATCAAATCAAAGAAACAGATCTTCTGGTTTTCAATTTCATTTGTTTGAAACTTCGAATTTGCTTAAATGGTTTAGTGAGAGTAAATGAAAATTAATTATTGTTTAATTGTTTTTAATTTTGTTTAATTAAAAGTTCTGTATTTTTTAATGTAAGTACAGTTCACCTACGAAGTGTTTTGATATTTTAAGGTGACTTGGCGTTATTTATTGGCCAAAGCCCCTATTTGCACCCTTCATTTATGTCATTTTCACGATCAACACCTTCTAAAATTTTTCATCCCTATTCACACCCTTCACTTTTCAAAACTCATGAAAAACTCAATATTTTAACAGATCTTCACAACACCGTTAAAAAATACACTACGTGGCATCCAAAAATTGATGTGGCACTATGTGGCGTTAGTAATCCAATGTCGATCCATTTTTTTGATGATGTGGCTTATTTTCTGATGGGAACCCCAAAGAGAACAATGAGACCCACAGCACGACAAGGGATTTGTAAACTCCAGGAAAGCTAAATCAAGTTTATGATAGGACCTTGACCCGTTGTTT